CGTTCAGTTACTTACACACCACAAATTGTTGTGTGTTGCTAACCCTTCTGTTCCCCCCTACATTGAGAACTCTATGGAGCGCTATTTCAACATAATAGACATACTTTTGGTGCGCGATTTCAACCACTTTTATGAGGCGCGATGATGCGCGCACCATGGCACAATTTCGGGTGCGCGGTGGAGCGCGAGCGCGATCGCGCCCCTTAAAAATGAAAGCCTGTCACACTATACACCGAATATTAAGAGCATAGGTTGAGCCGTTCCGCAATTCCGTATTTCCTCCTATACCTCAAGTTAAGGGGGACTTATTCCCCCTCCGTTTACACATCTTGACCTTTGACCCCCCAAATTTGTCATTTTAAGTCCTTTTCACGTCCCGAATATCGTGACCATACGTCGAGTGGTTAAGATTTGTGCCATACTGTTGACGGACGGACGGACGGACAGACGCACGCACGCTCATGCGATTCTACAAGCTGCATCTGACTACGTCAGATGAGCTAAAAAATTGGAACCCCCATTGAATACTTCAGAGTATAACGTTAATAAATTATTATTTATTAAAAATGCCGAACTCAATTGCCTTTAGTGTTACAACATCGTATTCTGCAGTAATTTACAGCAGCCTTCACAATTGCCATTCAGGTGGGTGTGTTAATGCCTTCACTTATGTTTGTGTAATTGTTAGCTTTGGTTTTGAACTTCAGACTTCAGACTCTCCATTTTCTCCATTTTCCTGAAAGCATGGAGTCCCCACCCCCGTCTGTACATACACGTACATATATGAATGTGAATTTAACTACATTCAGCATTGCACAACAACGAACCGCCGCGTCACGGTACCCGTTCCGCGCGCACACTTACACTAATTCAACACGGTCGGTCGGTCGGTGAATCACGGAGAAAGAGAGCGAGAGGACAGGACGCATGCCGGTGACTAATAGGTGACAAATGCAGCCCATCAAGGTTACAGGTAGACTATAGCACGCTGGCCATGTACACAGGTAGACTATAGCACGCTGACCATGTACACAGGTAGACTATAGCACGCTGACCATGTACACAGGTAGACTATAGCATGCTGGCTACACATCTATACATCGACAAACACTTGACACAACTATCCCTCCCCCCCCTCCCCCACCCCGACCAACGACAGCATGCACGTGTTACACGTTAGTACACATCCGGTAAGAAAGCCCATTTTTTATTAAATGCACGCCACCGACGCCGATCGCCTGAACAGCATTCGAAAAATGCAAGATTGACGGCGAATCGACGATCGTTAAACGCACGGCGGCGAGCGATTTTGTTTTACTCGTCACTAATTTAGGGTGTCGTAAGCCCGATATTTACCCATCACCACCCCCATACTAGGGCCACAAAACATTTGTTTGCCCTCACCTAACCCAGGCTGAAAAGTTTGGGTAGGTAGGTCGGCTTTTTCTTTTAGGGCGGGGTCTTTTGAAATTCAGCATGGTGTCTACATGCTCGGGTGTGCTTGTGTGGAGATACCTTTTATGTTGAATGTTTGTTTTGCGCTTGGTACATATAATGAATTGCCTACAGATTTATATAATTTAGTGATACAATTTGTTAAATAAATAATATAAAAAAATCTATAAAATTGTTTGAGTCGGCCCCTTTTTGGCAGGTCGGTCCGGTGAGGGCAAACAAACAAACTTTTCATTAATTATAGCTTAGACACCCACGACACTCGCTATGCTCTCCCGAATCCATGCTGCAACATATAAACACCGCCGTGATGCGATAACAACGCCAGGAACTGCACTTTCAAGTTATACACAAACTAGAGTTGAACTTCTAAATAAATATAAAGCTATAAATACACGCGTGCGCGCACGCACACGCACGCACGCACGCACGCACGCACGCACGCACGCACGCACACACACACGCACACACACACACCTATAGATGTAAGTTCGTACTACTAACTAGTGAACAGTGAAACCCCATCATGCTATAAACACTGTTTGTACGAACTACGAAACAGAGTTATCAATGTTTTGCCTGGGTGTGCATGTGTGTGTACAATGTCTGGGAGTTAATCTCTACTGACATTTACGGACGACACACGTAAACAAGTTAGTTGTTTCACAATTCCAGTTTTAACACTGCTTTTCTAAGGTCTTTGCCTTAGTTACACAGCTTCTATTTCTAACAGCGACGTATACATATGGCAGTAACAGTAGAACTGCTATTACAACGGCTTTCAAACACGAACCAATCCTAATAATGTTTACATATAAAATCAACTGTTCTTTAACTTTACAACACGCATTGCGCTAGGAATTACAATACGTCATGGAACGATCGATTTAGAATGTTGAAACAAAGTTATGCTTTTACTATCATTTTTACTCATCAGATAGACAAAATGTACAATATATACACAAATAATATATCTAGAACACATTACAGATAATAATACTGAATCCATTAGTGATTCCTTGCAGATTTGATAAATAACGAAGACTGAAATGACATAGGCAAGATCCCACATACATATATACAC